GATCGATGGGGAGCCACGCCTACCAGAGAAGGCACCTTCTGGGCCCCACTCCTCAGGGGACTTCCAGCATTAAGGAGGCTGAACCCCAAGAAAGAAACTCGTAGTCACCCACTTAATCCTTTTTTCAAAGATGAAGCCAAGGATGGTGTTGATGCCCGACTTTCCCCAACATGGACATTCTTCTTATTTTTCTGCCATACCCATCACTATTTGGCCAAATCTAGACCTTTCCCCTTGCCCTAGACTGTTGCCATCAGAAACAAAGTGTAGGCTGAGCATGGTGGCACAAACCTGCAATCCAGTCACATGGAAAGTGGAGAGAGGAGGATCAAGGGTTCAAGGTCAGCATCAGTCACAGAGTCTGAACTCAGCCTGGCTTCTATGAGATCCCTTCTCAAAGAAACCAAAAGTGAGGAGATAGCAAAGCCAATATAGTGCTCACCACATGAGCACAAGGAGCTGGGTTGAATCTCCACAACCAATGTGAAAGTCCTACACACGGTGCTGCGTGCTTATAAACTCAGTGTTGGGAGGCACAGCTAGGCGAATTCCAGGAGTTCACTGACAGTCTGGCCTACTCTAGCATCTGTGATCTCTAGATAAGTGAGTGTCTCTGTCTCAAAATCAAGGTAGATAGACCCTGAATAAGAATGTACACAGGTACATACACCTGTACACACACATACACACACACACACACACACACACACACACACACACACACACACAGAGCGGGAGTGGGGAGGTCAAGAGTCCTCAGTAAAAACACCCAAACACAGAGTCAGAGGCATGTCTGGTCACACACTCTACAGGTCAGTGACCAGACACACAAGAGGCCAACAGCTCAGCCACACCAAATGAAGAAGACACTTGTCTGTCTGTCCCATCAGACTTCCCCCAGCATCCTCGGTGCAATGTTAAAGAGCAACCAGAACGCAGACTGATGCTGGGTAATGATAGCCCACGTCCGATGGGAGTGAAGCCTTCTGCTCCCACCCGGAGGAGGCCAGGCAGGAAGGAGGGAACTTCCACCTACCACAGCTGAGTAGACATGTTAACCTCTCACCTACTGTAAGAGGCTCAGAGGAAACAGGAAAAGAACATCCCTGTGTTAGGAGTTAGACATAATTGTCACACACACACACACACATACACACACACACACAACAAATCTAGCACCTTCGTGGGGTCAGGCATCAGGAGTGAGATGAAGGACCATGGTGAGGGGCAAAGGTACACAACAGCATCAAGCCCCCCGCCCAAAGGTCCCCTTTACATCTTTGGCAAGACCTGACACAGTTGCAAGAATCTGCAGAAATGGGGGTTTATCTCTTTTGGTTCATATGGCTCTAGAGATGGAATCCTGGTCCCTGCAGGTGGGAGGCAAACACCCCCACTGAACTGCATCTCTAGCCCTTTGACATGGCCATTTTGAGCATTTGATCTAGAATGAGGCTAACAGAGGTTTAAGTGCAAACTCATCTAATATCCAAACCTTAACTATTGACTGGGAAATAGGCTGTGAAGATGGGGCTCTAGCTCAGGGACTATGGACCTGGGCACATGTCTATATTTTCACGACAGCCTCCGCATCCATAAGACTGTTTCCTAAACCAACAGTGTGATAATGGGCAGGTGCAGAGGGTGTGAGGGAACAAAGGTAGCCTGCAACATCAAAGGTTTCCACAAGGAAGCACCAGTCAGAACCAAGCTCCCAGGCCTGAGCAGGGTCTATGCCACTCTGTACATCTGTTGCTCTACAGCCAGTGTCACAAGCTAGAGTCATCTGGAAAGAGGGAACCTCAACTGGGAGAATGCCTCCATAAGATTGGACCACGGGTCCAATAAAAAAGCCTGCAAGGCATTTTCTTAGTGATTGAGGAGGGAGGGCCCAGCCCATGGTGGTCCTGGGTTCTATAAAAAAGCAAGCTGAGCAAGCCAGGAGGAACAAGTTAGTGAGCAGAATTCCTCTGTGGCCTCTGCATCAGCTCCTGCCTCCAGGTTCCATCCCTACTTGAGTTCCTGTCCCAGTTTCTTTCAGTCATGAACCATGGGTGTGGACGAGTAAGGCAAATAAATCCTCCCCTCCCCAGGTTGCTTTTGGTCATAGTGTTTCATCACAGCAACAGTAACCCTGACTAAGACAGCAAGAGTCAGCAAAGTGCTTTTCTATGAAGAACCGGACAGTATTTTCAGTGGTAAAGACCACATGGTCTTGGCCACAGCTATTCAGCTCTACCACTGTAGCACAGAAGCAGCATGTACAGTATTTGAATGGGTATGACTGTGTGTCAATAAAACTTTGTTTACCAAAGGAAGTGTGGAGGGACAGATTTGGCCCCAGAGGTGCTGTATGCCAGTGTTTGCTCTAGAGTTTTGGAGTTTATAAAGTTTATACAGCTAGCAACTACTGAACTGGAACTAAATGAATAAGAAGTCTATGTTCTTTCTACAAGCAAGCCTACCTTCATATAACTACTGGGGTTCACTGGGTCAGGATTATATGGGTCTCACTCAGGCCCAGTTTCACCTCTGCAGCCAGAAATCTACCCCCGTATCCAAACTCCTTCATGTCCACACACACACACACACACACACACATGCACACACATATGTACAGGCACACACACACCCATGTGCACACACACACACTCATGTGCACACACACTCACGTGCACACACACACACACACACACACCATATCCTATTATAGATCCTTACTACTTCACTCCAAGATCCAACTTCTTCCCCTAAGCCTGACATGAGTTACTTATGGTTGTCAACAATTAGCCAGCATCACCATCAGGGACACATCTTTTTGAGGTTACCATCAGGGGCTTTAAGAATGACTCCAAAGATTTCCTTTCCAAATGGCGTGGCTGTGAACCTGCAGGCTATCCTTGAGTGTTTCCTTTGCCTGTGGGAATTGGTTAGGTTTTTTTTTTCTTTTATTATGGAAAATAGTTTTCATCAAATAGAAGGAGGGTGGCCAGGAAATTGGCATAGTTAAGAAACCAGAGTGTCTCATTTCCTCAGCATAACTTATGTCTACTGCCAGCCAGACCAGCATCCCCTGAGCCAGGGCAATGCCTCCCCCTGTAGATACTGCAGGTCTTGGCACCATGGCTAGCGCACGGGGAACGACTCAAGAATACATGGGGCTGACAGCTGCTGTTCCCTGGGGAACAGCCATGACTAACCCAGCTGCCAAGCTACGGAGCCGGCAAGTCGTTCGAACAGACGTTCACGTTCTCTTTTATGATACTGACTACAAATGGCTGGAGAGAAGTCAGGGCTTCTCTTTATCCCTTCCACCTCCTAATTTAGTGAGCTTCTTTGACCACAGGCTAACGATTCCTTCCTGTGTTCTTTCCGGGAGAGAGTCCTCCCTAGAGAGGACTAGCCACTGTTATTTTATCTTGCAGCGCTCTCTCGACATAAGGAGGTGGCGAGTTTGGGTGGTGTTTTATTTCTCTTTATTTTTTTTATTTTTTTTGGTTTCACAAAGGAGACTGGGGATTTCATGGCCTGATTTAGGTCAGGGTGCCTGAGAAGGAGGGAAGATAAAGCCACAGGGGACCCAGGCACTTTAGAAATCTAATCAGCCTTACCCCAGCAACCTCAGAGAAGAAGCAGGACAAGTCTCAGCCCTCCTGGGCGGAAATCGCCTTCCTAGATAAAATATTCCACAGACAGATGGAGGAATGGGAGTTTCTCAATCTCTGCCGTAGGGCAGACAGGAATGTTCAGCATTTCTATTTCCTCCCACGGAGTTCACTGAGCCCTCTCTGCAGAGCCAGAAGTCCACGCAAACCTATACAACAGTGCCCACCATGGACTAACTTATTTCACCTTTGCAATGACCTCCTACAGATGAGGAGACTGGGCACAGGGATGCTAGGGATCTTGTCTGAGGACAAGCAACTTACAACTTATAAAAGCAAAGCTGGGACTCCAACCTCAGTCGTCCAGCTCGGAGCCCTCACAGGCCACAAGTTGCTTCTCTCTGCATCCTGTCTTGGAAACGAGCAGGACTTTGACATCTCTCCCAAGCAGTACTCCTGAGAGCACAGAGCCCTCGGTCTGGGCGGAACAGGAAAGCCTGAGTCTAGTTGTTAGTTTTTGTACCTAGAGTGATATATCCCAGAGATGGAGGAAGGGTCTGCCATCCCAAGGTCTTGGGATCACCCATGAAAGTGTCCACGTGACTTAGCCCGACTCCTAAGACAGTGGTCTTCCCAACATCTTCCCAAGACGCAAAGCAAAATACACAAATACACTTCAAACTCAGTTCTTTCCTCAATAGGAAAGAACTCAAAATATAAACAAATAGAAGCAGAGGAACAAGCACACGAGTTCTGATGTCGCACCTTAAGTATCATTTGTGGGCTCCCGCTCAGGGACCGTTCCCACAGAGCCATCTACCCGTGCCTGACCTGAATTTGTGACCAATGCACACCTTAACAAGGTGGCTGGCATAGCTTGTGACTTCAGAGATGGCAACTCTCCCCTTCTTCTTAAAACACCAGACAGACCTATGGGCAAAGGCAGCCCGAGAGATCCCCTAGCGGAGTCAGGCGCCAGAGAAGATGCGATGTGGGCATTGAAGCCACTCCAACAGAGCCTCAGGCATGGCTGCTGCAGCACTTGGGATCAGAGGCAAGGGACAGGAAGGCAACTCGTCCAGGACTGACTGACAGTTGTCCCCAAAAGGTGGGTGCCCTCAGCGCTCTACCTTATCTCTCCGGGCACTGCTCCCCTCCAACAGCTGGCCAGAGAAAACAAACAAAAAGAGAAACGGGGACTCTGGCTCATTGTGCCCCAGGGGTAGCTTCAAGTCTCAGAGTCAGGCCTAAAAAGTTAACCACTTAAAGTGACAAGTGTCAGCTATCACACCTCAAGTTAGTCTCACTCAGAATAACATGGAGAAAGATCAGACAGCTGTACTAACAGACCTCCACTACCAGAAGACTGCTTCCCATCCTCTGGCCACATCCTACCTGCTTCCATCAGCTGGCATTGCTGGCCGAAGACACGGGAGAAGGTTACCCGGCCCGTGGGGGAACTGGACGCTGTCAGCACGGTCTCCATGGCCGTAGATCCTTGCTGTTGGTCTTGTGGCTGTGATGGATGCTTGGTGTCCCAGCAGCAGGATTTATCACAATCCCAAGAGCAGTAGCAGATTTGGGGCCACTTGTCCCCTTCAAAAACAATGTCCCCACCTCCAAAGTTTGCAAGGCGTCTTGCCCTCAGCCCTCTGCTCTGTTTCTTGCAGTTTTTTCTCAAACCCCAGCTAGGTGAGAAATGGTGATAGCCTGAAGGTTCTGCAAGCCTGGGGAGCTGCAAGCCTTAGCTGTAGAGCCCAATCTAAGGTGCCCCGACTAGAGTTCCTTCCTCTGTTCAGAAAAGGTGCCTGGATATGGATGGGCCTCTCCTGTGACTCCAGAAGAGACAAATTGCTGCTCAGCCCTGGGCCACGCTGGCTAAAGAGGGCTCCAGTTCGGCTGCGTCCCAGCAACCAGTTACAAGCAAAACGCTGCCCAGGCTCCCTGGGGAGCTGGCCTCACAGGCGGCAGTCCTGGGCTCCTGAGTGCTGACTAGATCTCCGCGGCTCCAGGGTCTTCTGGGTCCCAGGGACCGCTGCAGCCTGGGAAGATAGCAAGAGGTGTGCGCTGCAGCTTGAGCGGGCGCTCTGCAGCTGGGGGCCACCGTCGTCGCTGGCTCATCCTTCACTTCCCCAGATGCCTTTGCCGTTCAGTTCTCCGCAACCTGGCCTGGCAGTGGGATGCCGCGGAACAACACATGCTGACAGAGCTCCTGCTGCATGCGACTTACTGCAGCGGGTGTCCCTAGCCCGCTTTGCTACCCCCTTTCCGTGATGCAAAACGGGCTGTTGCTTGGAGAGCTCCTGAATGTGGAGGGGAAGTGCTAACTCAGCCCAGCAGGCTCCAGGGCTGGAGTAACCTCTTCATGTCCACAGCCCAGGAAGCGCCAGACCTGGGACACCAGACTGCTGGCGATGGAATGCATAGATCCATGAGAGGAGACCTGAGACATGCCATCCATTCCAAGGACCCCGGAGGGAGAGAGCAGAAAGAGGGGTGCCTCTCAGACACCCGAAGTCTTCCTGGGCTAGGAGCGGAATGTTCAGCCCCACTACTCCAAACAGACGGGCAGTTTGGAAAGAGGGGTGGGGAGAGGGAGAATACCTTTTACAGGATCACAACCACCACCTGGGTGGGCACTGGGTCTTAAAGTTGCCATCCGGTCGACCGACCACAAAATGTTTTTAAAGACACTGCACCCACCTCACTCTGATAATTCAGTCAACTCCAGCACTGCTGGGATTGGCGCTGGCAGTCACCTGGTAGGGCGGAGCCAGGAGCACCTGGAGCGGAGAGGAGCTGCCCCCACCCCCACCCTACCCCTGCCCGCGCAGTCATCTCTACACGAGTCTCTGTTTTCTCCCAGAGAGAGTCAAAGCCTCTCTGGAATGAAAAGTGCAGCTGCTTTTGTATGCACAGGCCCTCTGACGGGAAGGAGCCTTTCCCATGTCAGCCCTTGGTTGGCAAAGGTGACATAGCTAGGTGTTCGGGGTAACCTGGGAGCCAGAGGAAGCAATGAAATGCGAATAGCCCAGATGAAGTCTGATTTCATGCCCGTGCCATTTTCTGTTTGTTGGTTTGGTTTTTGAGACAGGGTCTCACCGTGTAGAGCAGGCTGGCCTCTGCCTGCTGAGTGCCGGAGTAAAGGGGGGGCCCCACCACGCCCAGCCTCGTCTTCAGGGGTCTTAAACGATTGAGCGCCTCTTTTCCCGTTACAGACGAGGCTCTCTTTCGCATTCTGAAATCATAGGACAACAGAGCTCGCTCTCTGTGACAGTGAGGGAGAGAGAGGGTCTGAGACAGCCACAGGCTGGGGTCAGAGGAAGAGTTAGACTTTTGGTAGGAGGGGGAAGGGACCACTTTCCGGGGACTAGAGTAACCATGGTGCTGTCTAGTACTCAAAGACATCAGGCTGTGCACTGCCCAGCTGGATAAATGGAGGCGTGTGAGTAATTACCAGGGTAAGCCACGTGAGCCAGGACGCGTGGGTCTGCACGAGAGCTTCCCTAGCTGCGTGGCTCTTCCATACCTAGGCATGGGATTTCACTACCCAAACATACATACAAATTCTAGCTCATGGAATGCTTCCAGGTACCGCAGAGTATCTGTGCTAGTTTGTTTTGGACTAATCCTGTGAAATGAATATTACCACACTCCCATGTCTTTGACAGTAATTGCTCTTGGCACAGAGGAGCTGGGAAGTCCAACAGGTGTCATCCACGGGAGTTCATGGTTTTGCTTTGATCTTTCTTAATTACTAAACACCCCCCCCCCCCAGCACTTACTGGAAAGTGCTCAGGCCCCTCTCAGCAAAGTTCCTGTTTAAGCTCCTGTCCATTCTTGTCCTGTTCTGATCCTGGCTTTTTCCCTGATTTACAAGAGTTCCCTTGTGACTGCAGCACATTAAACACTTATCCCTGGGCTTTGTCAATGTCTTCTCGCTGCATGTCATCCTACCTGCAGGTTTTTGCCGCCGGTATCCATTAGCGAGAAACAAGTGTGGACAGACTCACTGAGAGTTTTGGATTTACAGTCCAAAGACGTTCTTCTTTACACCCGGGTCACAGAGCTAGCCAATTTTGCAGTTTTACCTCTCGTACTGTGATGGTCAGTTTTAGCTTTCATCTCAGCAAAATCTAGAAACGCCCTGCATGAGAGTCTCCCCGCAGGGCTGCCTAGATTGGGTTGGCCTTGTGGGGGTGTCTATGGGAAATTATCTTGATCACATCGACTGAGGTGAGAAGATCCCAGCCACACCATGGGTGGCGCCATTCCCTAGGCAGAAGAATCTGAACTGTATAGGAGTACAGAAAGGGTGCCGTCTAGATAGCACAGTTGGTAAGGACACTTGTGCCTCAAAGCCTAACAACCCGAGTTCAGTTCCTGGGAAATGCATGCCGGGAGGAGAAAACCAAGCCCCACAAGTTGTCTTCTGATCGCATTACGCCATGGCATGCGCACATGCACACAGAGAGAAATAAAAACAAAAGTGGAAAAGGACATTGCAAAGGGGAGCAGAGTGTAGACGCGGAATACATTGATTGGTTGCCCTCTGCACTGGGTTGTAAATGTGTTGTGACTAGCGGCTTCAGTTTCTTACCACTTTGATTTCCCTATCATGATGAACTGTAACCTGGGATTTGGTGCTGACCCCCTTCACCTCCAAGGTGTTTTTTCCATGGCATTTTGTCACAGCAATGGGAAACAAAACTAAGACACGTACGGAGTGTTTTTAGTCTATGGGGGGGCTGCTTAGAGATCCGGTATTAAATAGTGGCAGGTTCTACCACCCCTAATATTGTAAACCAATTTTTTCAAACCATCTTTTTCTCCTCTGCAATGCACTGAATGTTTTACATTAAAATCATAACACCAAATATGAGGCTTCTAGAAGCTAGGGTACTGGGGAGGCCAATCAGATTCAGAGGGTGGGGTCCTTGTGAATGGGGTCAGTGCCCTTATAAAAAAAGACACCAGAGATCTCCTTTGCTCTCTCCACCATGTGAACACAGTGAGAAGTAGGGCCGTCTACCACCTTAGAAGAAGGGCCTCCCCGGAACCAGACCATGCTGGCACATTCAGCTCAGAGTTCCCATCGGAAGAATAGCAGGAAACAGTTGTGCTGTCTAAGCCACCCAGCCTGTGGTAGTTGACTGAGGCCCTACCCAGCCTGCCCCTCTGTGGCTTCAATATCATCATACAGCCCTATTTCAACAGATGTGGGATGACTTCTCTGCTGTTCTATGGAGTCCAATACTGTACTATCAACGCTAGCATTTTAAACCAACATTTCTGTGTATGTGTGCAGGTGTGTTCATGTGTGTACACATATATTTTGTTTTTTCATTTTGTTTATTTGTTTGTTCGTTTCGAGACAGGGTTTCTCAGTTGCTATGGAGCCAGTCCTGAAACTCACTCTGTTGACCAGGCTGGCCTTGAACTCACAGAGATCTGCCTGCCTCTGCCTCCCAAGTGCTGGGATTAAAGGTGTGCACCACCACCACCCGGCTACATGCATGTTTGTTTATACACAGGGTTAATATCTGATGCCAGCCATTTGTTTTTTGAGACAGGGTCTCTTCATTGACCCAGAACTCAATTGGTCATCTGGTGTTTGAATTCCATGTCTGCTGCTGCCATGATAAGATTCCCTGATAAAAGGCAACTTTGGGAAGAAGGGTCTAATTTTAGCTTACAGGCCAGAGGGGAGACAGTCCATCATAGCAGGGAAGACATGATAGCAGGAGCAGAAGACCTGCCTGAGAGTCAGGTGGTGATATTTTGTTTGTCCTGGAACAAATAAAGCTTGCCTGGAGATCAGAGTGCAGAGCCAAGCCACTAGTTAGCCACAGAGGCCAGGCAGTGGTGCCTACCTAAGTTCTGCCCTGCTATAGGTCCAAAGCAGTTTCTTTATTCATTAATGGTAATCACAGCACACAGAGGGTCTCCCACATCGATGCAGTCTGAGGATTCGTAGAGGGAAAAGGACTCTCTAGTGGCTGGCCACACTGTCTCTCTGCTCTCTCGGCTCTCATCCCCTACTATCCGACTCCAGGTTTTTATTATTAAGAACAATTAGAATTCACGCCACAGAGTCAGGGAGTTGGCTGATCACATTCCATCCACAGACGAGAAGCACAGAGAAGGAACTGGAAGTGGAACAAGGCTCTACACTCTCAGAGCCCATCCCTGGTGATGCACACTTCTTCTGTCACGGCTCTTTCTTCCTCCCAAAGTTTCCTCCTGACTTTCCCAGACAGTTCTGTCAACTGGGGACTGAAAGTTCAAACACTTGAGCCTGTGAGGGACATTTCTCATTCACATCACATCACCCAAGCTAGCTGGCCAGTGATTCCCCCAAATCTCCATCTCTCCACCTTCCCAGTGCAGGGGTTACAAACCCGTGCTGCCGCACCCAGCTTTCTGTATAGCTTCTGGGGAATCAAATTTCGGTTCTGTTCGCACAAGCAGCACTTTATTAGCTGAGCTATTTCCTAGCCCAGTAATCAACGTTTTAAAAAGTCTAGATTTCCAATAGGTCAGATTTCCATCATGGAGACTTCTGGCCTCGGGCTCAGTCAACTGGGGTGGCAGAGAACCCCTTCCTATGGATCCAGCCTACAACACCGCTTATGCCTCACAGTCAAGGATGAGTTAAGGGTTAGAAACAGCTCCAGAAAGGAAAGCAGAGAGGAACCCACCATTAGGGAAGTCATTGGCCAATGGAAAGAGCCCTTGTTCTAGCTTTACTCAATCATTGATTAAATATTTTATTGATACCCAGCTCTAGACACAAGTAGATGGAAAATGGGGACCCCCAAAAAGTGGAGATACTGGGAAAGACAAGATGTTTTCTGTCTGTCTGACTCTGATAAACATAAGGAGCCATTGGCCATCCATGTGGACAAACATATGACACAGTACATCACAGCCTTGGGAGGTCTTGTTGCAGCATAGCTGAGGACTAGTTCCTGAATAGCACTCTGAGCGACAGGGCATCGGCACTGGCTAAGCAGCAAGGAAGAGCTACCCCGATAGAAGGAGGAAGATTGTGCTAAGGGAGAGGATCGAGGCACAGTCAAGCCCTTTGTGACGGGCCAGTTTAAAATGCCATGTTACGCTGAGAAGGTTTGAAGGCCCACTTAGGACTTCTAAGGGCTGTGCACTGGATCACGTCAGTGCCCAGATCCACATTTCTCACGCATTCCCTGGGCACCTTTTCAGTTCCATAAAATTCTAACTTGACTTTCCCTAAAGGGCTCTCTTGACCTTGCTTAGATTCTGCAACCCTTGAGAGCTAAGGACTGATTCCACAGGTCAAGGCAGGCTTTCATCGGAAACTCCTGGAAAGTGCGGAGAAGCAACTACAGCCCCGGAGCATGGATGGGGCAAGGTGGAGGGCCATCTATAGTAATGCGATCCTGAGATTAGAATCAGCTATTTTATGATATTTTATTTCTCATAGGCAAAGAGTACTCTGTCAGTCTGCTCCATGTGGGTAACAACACTGTGTGTTTATGGATATGTTTTAAATAAGGAAATTGTCATTTGGGATCGTGGTTCTTAGCAAACCAAGGTGGAGTGGCTTCATCTGTGGCAGCCTTCATCCTTGTAGAGTCCCCGGGAGGTGTAGGTCATCACATCGTGTTAAGGTTTAGATATCAAA